CTTTGATTATGGGATACTTGTCTTGTTTGGTGATGTCAAAATTGGAAGAACTTATATATCCTTAGTTGATATCTTTTCAGTTATATATCGTGTATCTTGAATTCTATTTTAGTTTATGTGGTTTAAAATGAAATGCATGTTTATGTTTATGTTTTTATGTTCTTCTTTTAATTTTTATTTTTAAGAACAAAATTATTATCTTGCCTATCAACTAATATTATTTGATATCATCAAAAATGGAAAGATTATTGCAATCTAGGATCCCTAGTCTGTAATTTTGATGATGACAAATAATGTTGATTGAATTATTTCATCATTTATGAAATATTTTGAATGTTACTCTTTTTTATGAATACTAACATTTTAGGGAGATTACATAGTGCTCAAGACAACGGAAGACTTAAAGATTGGGTAGAATAAGACGTGAATGAGTATGTAATTTTTATTTTCTTTATTTTTTTGTTTCTTGAGTCTGGTCACAAAACAGTGTATATAGATTGAATGATCATGCACACACACAATGGCAGAGTTTTATTTTTAAGAAAAGACTATTTTTTATATAGATCATATTGTACAATTTTAAATCGTAATGTATGATATATTATGGATTAACGGTTAACTTTTGTGATCTAATCGTACTATACGATTGTGATCGTACTGTTTGATTTATTTTCAACCCTAAACCCTAACCACCAGATTAATTTAAGCAAGTTTTTATTTTTTTAATTTTGAATACATCATACTGTACAAAACTAATTGTATTATACAAAGATGTGAAACTTGCTAAAATTAACCCCCATGATTGATCAATTAAATCAAGGTTTACTTAATTATTTGATGATCGTACTGTACGAATTGGATTATACTGTATTATAAATGAGGCATTTTTTGGTCATACCAATGATCATTCCAGATGAAATCTTGATTTTTAAACTAATCGTAATGTACGTTTATACATCGTATAAGATGAATTGAATAAATTTAGCTGATTATTTTATACGAATAAGATTGTACCATATGATGAACATAGATAATTTTCGATCATCCTAGCATTCGTCCCATACGAATAGAAGAAATAATGTATATAGTACTAGAAAATATTTGTATCATATTGTATGATGTATTGAAAATTTTTTACCAGTTCGTACTCCTTTATACTAGGATGGGAGTTATTTTGAATTGATCATGCTGTATGATTTTGAATTGTACTGTATGAATGGAAATGACTAATTTGAATTTTTAGAGTTTCTTGAAGCATATTATATATATAATGCTATTATTAATTAAAAATAAGAGAGAGGAACATGACAGCTGACGGAACTCTAGAGATGGAGCTTTTTGAAGAGATTGAAGATTTATGAGAGGAGAAGGTGAACTTGTGCATTAGGGAGAAGTAGTGTGAGGGGATCACATGGTTGCTACAAGCTAGTTGTACGCTTACTCCTCTTGTGGCCTAGGTGAGTCTTATGGGACCTCTCTAGAGGGAGAAGCTTCTATGTCAAAGTCCTTGAAGGTCCTATGCCTTTACCAGGAGGGAGAAAAAATAGAATGTTCGTTGTCATCACTGAGAGGGTGACATAGCGTCCGACACTCCGCCACACTGGAGATGGTGAAAGTGAGTTTTCGTGAAAGGATTTTTCACCTTACTGGAAGGAGAGTCTCTTTTGAGTAGTGCAAATCTCATAGTGGAGGACTTCGGGGAATGGACGTAGGTCAAGATTAACTGAACCACTATAAAAATTTCTAGTGTGCTTTTCTCATTTTCTACATTTTACTTTTCTTGCATTTAACTTTGTTATAACTGCTTTGTGAAAAGTCATTTTTAGTATTCCGTTGTGCAATTTAAAATTTCATCACCATTTGTTGTGATTGTTATCAAATCATTGACTCCCACATTTTTGATTTGTAAAGTTATCTTTTTGAAAAAGAACTAAAAAAAAAGAACTAATGTTTAGGATTTATTTAAAAAATACTAATTCACCCCCCCCCCCCTCTTGGCGCATCTCGTACTTTCAATATTAAGATAATTCATGAGTTTAAATACAAGTGATATTTTCATTACACTCTGATAACTCTGATATTTATATTACTAAGGATAAGTGCAAGTACATGCATAAGTTCAAGTGATATGTTCTAAATTGACAACACCTAGACACATTAATAATTTTTATAGGTTTACATTAAGTTTTATATCTATGTTATCATCTTAGTATGTTTAATATCTATAGTAAAAAGGTTATTGTTATATGTGAAGCGAATGTAGAAGAAATCTATTGAGCATGTTGTGCTCATTCTATGAAATTTCTCTAATATTTCAGGAAAATAATATAATAGAGTTCATAAGGACAATATCATCAGGATCATTATTTTTTAGTTATTTTATAATCCGTTATTTACTTTTGGTGTATAGACTTTGTATGAGCTAGATTTTGTATATGATTTTTAGAAATGGATTTTGGATGTTATTTTATATTGTTAATATTATTTTGAATTTATTGGCTAGCTTTGGTTTATTCTACATTATGGTTGAAAGAAGTATATTTATGGATTAAATACATCTATCATATTATGGGGCATGACAGAGTGATATCAAAGTAGTGATTTGAAAGAAATTGAATCAAAACTAGTCATAGGGAATGATTTGTAGATACAGGGATGGAATCGAGATAGTTTAGTATTATTTTCTATCTATATTACATATGTACAAATAATTAAATTTTATATTTTTTTGTTAGATAAAAGTATTATTATATCATGAACCCACAAGATCAAGAAGCTTTTGATAAAAAAAAGTTCTAACCAAGTTGTAGCAATACAGAGTACTAACCAAGTTGTTATAATACATAGTATTATGGGGGTGATGAATTCTGATTTTATGATGTAATTTGTTGGATTAGTAGCTGAGTTAATGGGTGAGGCTCAGAGTTGGATGTTGGGAGTGAAGGGAGAGAAGGTAGATAGGCATATCTAATTATTTTTTAGAGTGAAACCTCCTTAATTTTAGTGAGTAGTAGAGCCTTAGGCAATTGAAGATTATTTAATGAGGTAGGATAAGTCATTGTTGACCTCATTTTTGTATGAGGTCATTTGGACTACTCTTGACCTTAGATCGATTTAATTAATTTAAATCCTAGAATCCTCCTAGAATCCTGACCTTAGGATCTCAGGATTCTTCTAGAGCTTAGACCTTAGGATCTACCTAGATTTTAGGTCAATCAAGCCAAATCCAAAGTCTTAGGGTTTTGTCCTAAAGGCCTTTTCCATTGAAATTTCAAACACTTTGAAACCTAGTTAAATGACCTCCGATTCAGAGTCTGAGTGGATAGACCAACAAAGGGAGAGATTCTAGGGAAGGCCAAATATAAAGATCTCTTGTGAGGATTTTATAGAGATTTTTAGGAGTAGGTTCATACTGACATCTTCCAGGAAATAGATGTAAGAGTCATTCTTAAGACTAGTTTACATTAGTGATGCAGTATGAGGAAGAGTTTATAGTTCTTACCAAGTATGCTCCCAAGAGGTCAGTACTTTTAAGGAGAAGTCTTATCGTATTCTGAGGGGTTTGAGAGATGGTCTGAGGCACCTGCTAGTGCCATTTCACATATGTTATTGTTTTTTTTTTGTTTTTTTTTTTTTTTTTTTTTTTTTTTTTTTTTTTTTTTTTTTTTTTTGAGCTCATGGAGAGAGCTCGACTTGTGGAGAATGACTTGATGTCCACTCAGCAAAGATAAGATGCTAATAGGAAGAGATTTTGAGGGGAGCCCTCTAGGAGTATGGTTAGTGGAAAGAAGTTCAGTTTGGAGGTGGTGATTCTAGGAGAGGAGGACCTACAAGATCAGGAAGTGTAGTTGGATCAATATCTATTAGTACTACCACGATCTATGGATTTTTTGGCAGAAAGTATATAAGTCGATGTTACTTGTAGGTCTCTTAATCACTATTAACTGACTACATTGATGCCCATTAACTTATTCCCCGTCATTACCAATAACTTTGATACATGTGTATTGCTTATATGATTGATCCATACCATCAACATCAACTTTGACTCACGTTGTCAACACAAAGATTCATACTACACTTTCCGATCTTTGGTCTCCTCTCCTATAAGAAGAACAAACTTTAATACACGACATTACCTATATGTTTGATACATACCATTAACAATAACTTTAACTCACGATGTCTCTTAGCCACAATCACCTGACTATGTTGATGCTCACAAACTTATCTCCTGTTGTCACCAATAACTTTGATACACCACATTGCTTATATGGTTGATGCATACCATCTACACCAACTTTAACTCCCAATATCAACAAGGAGATTTATGCTATACTTTATGGTCATTGGTATCCCCTCCACTTTGGACTTTGATAGATGCCGATTGACTACCATACTTCGACCATCATCACTTGACTTTAGTCCTCGACCACCATTGCCCGACTATAATCTCTTGATCATTGTTGCCCGACTATGCTCTCCTATCCATCATCATCGGACTACAATCTCGCAATCACTATCATCTAACTATAGTATATTGAGCACAATCATTTGACTATATCGATGTCAGCTAACTTATCACATGTTGCACCAACAATTGAAGCCATAGTCAATAAGTTTGATGCATACCAAGGACACAAATTTGACTCTTGATGTCTATATGAAGATTTATGCTACACTTTCGGTCTTTGGTCTCCCCTCCTCTAAGGAGAATAACCAAATTGACAATAAAGATATCCTGAAGCAACAACTCCATGTCACAAGTCTCTTGTGTCAGGACCATCGTCAATTGTGGGGAAATGATATTATTTGTAAAGATGATATGCTAGTAAAATCATTTTAATTTGATCATGCCCCATAATTTTTCTTTTTTTCAAAATTTTCTTTATAAAAGGTAAAGTGTTTCTTATAAATATTCTTTTATCTAAAAATATAATAACTCTTTTGTATTAAACAAAGACGTTAAGCCCTATTCCTTGACCATTGTGAATCACTGACGCTACAATACAAACCATTCAAATCTGGAATTGCATAATACAACTTTCATTTTTTTTAGTCTGCTGGTTCCCGCTGGTTCTTCTCCCGCTCGCAACGCAATCTTCAACTCAAGGTGTCTCCCCCAATCCATATGACGGATCAGAACTCCCTCAAGATCGCCATAGCCATTGCTCTCTTCCGCCTCAAGAATCTCCACCCACAATCCTCTTTCTCCTCCGAATCCGATGCTATGCGATGGAAGAAGAAGGTAGTACGGACGCTTCTCTCTTCTCCAGTCTTTTTAGCTGATCGAAACCCTAAAACCTAATACCATAATACTTCCCATAGGCGAAGGAGAGGAAGCTGGAGATTCTTAAGCTAAGAGAGGAGGTCAGGCTGCTTGAAGATGGAAGAGGGTCAGAGGTTCTCCCTGAGATCGCTTCTTGCAGGTGTCATTTCTTTGACGAATGCGGGGATTTGAAAATGAGTCGGGGTAATGAGAGTGGAGGCCACTGGATCAACGAAGTGCTGCGGAGGAGGTTCATTAGACTTGGTATGTTTTAGTTCTGTTCGAACTGAAGCTGTTTGTTTCTGTTTGTCTCTTTGGGATCCTTCAGCAGTGAAGATGATTGTTGTGATGTTGTCACATCTGTGATTGAGTTTCAGTTAGGTGGAAGGGCAGGAAGAAAAATGTGGATAATGGATTGGTTAGGCGGAGGTTCTTTTCTGGTAGGTGACTGAGTTCCGTTAAGTTAATGAACTAATTGACTTTTATTCTAGATTGTGTGATATATTATGCCAACTGCTAAGTATATTTAACATAAAATCCCCTTGTTTTATCATTGATTTGTTGCTAAATTTGAAATTGAATCATATTTCCTCTTATTATTTTCCTGTTGAATTGCATTTGCATCAGCTTCCTCACTTGTGCTTAAGCTGATTTAGCTGGGAAACTTTTGGGTCATTGCAAACAGCTACTTGCATCAACTCAACTTTTCTTCGTCTAATTCGCTATTTCTTCACGTCAAAACTATGGGGAAAATCCTATATATTCTGTCTTGTAGCCTTAAAAATAAATTTGTTATCTACATTTCCTTAACACATTTTCTAGACGATTGTAAAGTGTTACATGTTAACAATTTTGTGGTTATTTGGATGTGTGCTGCAGAGTTTGATGAAGAAAATGAAATTGAGCGGCTTTGTACATCGATTGACTTCTTGGTTGAGTTTGCTGACGGGATATCACTGAAAGTTAACTATATACTGAACCGATTTATCTTGCTTGCTTCTACCTTCCCAAGAACTTTATGTTTTAACTATATATTGGACTTAACTCATGCAGGGAGAAGCGACTCTTACTTTTCTGCAATTTTTCACCAAGCTGTAGATTTTATTTTAGGTGAATAGATTATATATTATTAAGCAAATTTTTTATCCTCTGAAATGGTGTTGTAATCCTATTTGTTTTTTCTTATGCTTTTCAATTATGGTAAAGATCTTGTGGTTGTTGATTTGGCCTTCTATTTATGCGTGGTTCAATTAACTCTTAATTTTTTTTTTGTGCAATGCTTATTTATTTATTTATTATGTTGATGTACTTGTCAATAAAATTGTCCTTGTAACCCAATGGCTCTATGACTCGTTAGCTGATTGACCTTGGCTGAATTCAAGTTTACTGAGTATATGCAATCTAACATGTAATCTTATTAATGCTGCCCTCTACTAGACAAAAGATATATTGCAGAATGAAATTTCAATGTAAAACTTGCAACCCCTTCATGCAATCTAAAAGGGGTGCTTGCTTTCACCCTCCAGTAATGTTCCACTGCAAAATAAGCTTTCAATTTCATTGAATCTAAATTGAAATTCTATGAAATGCAAAATAAGCTCAGTGCCCTTTTTATTTTCTTGATTGAGAATAATCTCAGGCTACAGGAAATATAGTCCTTTCCGGCGGACAAATCCGCCGAAAAACATTGAAAATCCGCCAGAAATTAGTATTACTGGCATATTTACAACAAATTAAAATCCGACGGTATTTTGGGTGTTGGAAAAGAATTTCCAATGTATAATTTTCATTGGAAACATTTTTGACAAATTTTCGACGGCTTTTCGACCGTTTTAGGATTAGAAAAATGACGGGTTTTGGAGATGTTACCTGCTGAATTTTTGCTGGATTTTCGGGGGATTCGTCCGCTTGAATTACTGGCGAAAACATCCGCCAGTAATCTACCAGAAATTTCGGCGGAATTAGGTTTCTGCTAGCAATCTGACAAAAATTTTGGCGAAAAAATCTGTCAGAATAGATGCACTAAATTCGTCATATCGACCATTTACCTATAGTTCGGATTAAAAAAAAATCCTCTCATGTCAATTAATCAACAATATAACAACACAACATAACACTAACATTTTATACAATAACAATATAACAACAATTTACAAATACAAACAACTTTGTATAAAGTAAAACCACTATTCCATCAAATTTTATTTAAGTTCTTCTCAAAATATTCTCAAACACATCCAAAAATCCTTATACATAAAAAAACAACGAACACATGCAATCTACTCAGAATCAGTTCCCTCACTCTCCTCAAGCGATACAGGCGCAAACTACTTTCCACTAAACTATTCTCTGATTCTCTGAAGCTCCTCCAATATCTGATTTTTCTACATTTGCATGTCCACTTGTGATTTTCGGACATGCTCCAGCTCTGCGATCAGGGATCCACCATTGGCTAATCAACCCCCCCCCCCCCCCCCCAAGTGCTTGCTGAACTAAAGGACTGTCCCTCGTATGTATAGGCCTGCGAGTCTAATTCATAAAATCTTCTCTTTTGCATTCTGCTTATTACTTGCAACCAATTGCAATAGCTGGAATAATCTATTGATCCTCCAAAGGATTCCTCATCAGCTACAGTTGGCTCTCTCGAAGCTGTATATATTCATCCTACAAAAGATAACATAAGATTAATCATTGTATAATTTTCACTTAAGTATTTCTCTTAATATTGTAAACTTATAGACTCACATAAGGCTTAGCTCGTTTGTCCACTCACTGTTGGTCCTTCTAGTGCTGGTGGGTGCGAGTGTGCAACTCAACAACCGTGGGTTCTCTGCCCAACATCTCTCTGCAATAAACTTAGATTAATATTCATAACAAAATAAATTATTAAAATTTATTAAAATTCTATCAACAAGAATGCTATCCCTCAAAGGATACATCCATCGATACTGAATATGTTCACCAACTCTAGCCTCATATGGTAAATGTACAAGCATATATTCCATGAAGTCAAAAAATGCTGGAGGAAATATCTTCTCAAGTTTGTATAGAATGAAAGGAATATTATGCTCAATATTGACCAAAGTATCTTCATTCAATCTTGACGAGCATAAGTCCTTAAAGAAGGTACTGAGTTCAGTCATTTGATTTCAAACCGAATCTAGAAGAAAATTGAAGGCAGTGAGTAGTAAACATTCCATGAAGATATGTCAATCATAATTTTTTAATCCAAATAATCTTTCTAATCTCATGTCAATACATTTACTAAGATTGGAAGCATATCCACCATGTAGCTTTAGACTCTACACTCATTTACAAGCAGTTCATATTTACTTTAAACTCAAAGTAAATGGGGTTTTCAGTTTTAGAAGTTTTTCATTTCCATCGTCCTTCAATTCTAGAATTTTTTTCTTGCAAATATCCTTCAATCCCATCATTGCTTTTACATTATCTTTAGATTTGTTCTTGATGTCCATTATAGTGTTGAACATATTGTCAAAAATATTTTTCTCAATATGTATTACGTTTAAGTTATGTCTGATCAAGTTTGTTTTATAATATGACATGGTCCAAAAAATACTCTTCTTTGTTCAATTATGATTAACTTCATATCTCGGCACTTTGTAATCAGCTAATGTGGAGAATCAACGATCGTGAGTATCAACTTTACTCTTTCAAATATTTGTGCATTGGTTAACCTTGGTGGAGGCTATGTTATCTCCATTCTGTTTTTAGTAAAAGCATAACGAATGGTGACTTCTCGCACGAATGGATGGTTTATAGGTAAGAACATGTTGTGATAGTCGAACTAAGTGTTATTGCCTCTATGCTTTTAAGTAAACGATTAGTAAATTTCATGCAATATGGGCAAGCTAATTTTCCAGCAGTGCTCCAACCTAAAAGCATAATGTATGCTGAGAAGTCACCAATTATTCAAAGTAACCCTGCCCTCATTGTAAAATTTTGCTTAATGGAGATATCATATGTAGTAACTTCTTCTCACAACAATTTTAAATCATTGATTAAAGGTCTTAAGAAAATATCTATCTTTGCTTTTGGATTATGTGGGACTGTAATGATAAGTGTTGGGAATATACAGGGTGTAGTCATACACAACTCTGGAGAAATATTATAAAGGGTGAGTATCACAGTCAAGCATGATAATGTTGAACTAGATTGGCTAAATAGAGTAAAAACATCCGCGCATAAGCCTAATTTTATATTTCTTGGTTTTGCGGCCAATGTATGATGCATACGGTCAAAGTGCTTCCATGGTTTTACTTCTGATGGATGTGTCAAAATACCTATTTGCGAGTTGTGTTTGGTATACCATCTCATATGTGTAGCAGAGCTCATAGATGCATATGTACATTACAATATGAGAATAATAGGTAAGTAAAACAATCGACCGACTGACACATCATTCTGCTTTCTTTTCTTCTCAAATTTTGATTTAAATCTTAGCAAGTTATATTGATGACATGCAATATTTGAAAAATTATTCCCATAGTAGAAAATACATCCGTTAACACAATAATCTATTTTTGTAGCTGTCAAAGTAAGCTTGAAATCCATTTTTTTAGTATGGTGGCTTATATTATATTTCGGATTTGTCTCTTTAAGAAGCCAAATGAATTGATTAAAGCATTCTCGGGGGATATCGTATGTTTTTATGCTCAACATCATCACAGCTACAGATAACTCTGAGTGAGCTGTGCACCCATTTCAAATTGGTTGCTGCGCAGTATGCAACAAATCATAGAATTTTTGTGCCTCCTAATTCAATGACTCTTCTATATATTGTTGATATTGTGGCCCAGTTGCATCATAAACAAATTCTTCGAACGTCCTAATATTTTCTTCCTCAACTAAATTGTAACTTATAGATGAGTCGCATTGAGAGTCGAAATGTTGCTTGTACTCACCATATGAAGTCCAATATCAATATTTTGGCATCAATTCTTGCGATATAGATCAACAATAACCTCATCTGATGGGAGGTATGCTTAGTTTTTGTGCTTTGAATAAGGACAATGTAGCCTCCAATCTAATATAAAGGAAGATAGTGAACAAGCCGCTTTGATGAATAAACGCACCCCGTTAATGAATTCATTGTTAATATTTTACGTCAAGGCAACAATCGTTTGTACATTCACTGTCTTTGATTTCGAATATCCATATCAGACTTGAGATATTTTAAGTCCTAAATGCAAACATTAAGATGATATGAGATATAATGGTATTATATTAGTGTTAGGCCCCTACAAACTAAAATCATAACATTTTTTTCCTCAACATAACCCATTATACTCATTTTTGCCTTCAATTTTCTTTTATATTTTGTTTTGTAAATGAAAGCATTTAAAGCTTGTTGAGTTTTGCCAACCTATTAGTTTGACATCTCAACATTTTAAAGCTTTGATGCAACCTATCCTGGAGTTGTTAAATATGGAGAATAGCAGCTAAGCAAAATGATTTTTTGTTTAGTGTCCGACCCCTACAAAGAGAAATCATCACATTATTTCCTCAACTTAACCCTTTTGCTTCTAATTTTGGCTTTTTGTTTTTATTGTGTAAATGAAAGCATTTGAAGCATGTTGAGTTTAGCCAAAGCTCAACACCTTAAACATTTCATATAACCATTCCTATTTTCATTTAGCTTGGAGAACCCAAACTAATATTATATATTTGAAAGTGATTAAATCAGCCACCAACAAAGTAAAATCATCACATCTTTTCCTCAACTTCACCCTTTTGCTTCTCATTTTGGCGTAAATTTTGTTTTATTCTTTCCTGTAAATGAAACCATTTAAAGCTTGTTGAGTTTTGCCAACCCTTTGGGCCTATTTGGATGCAGGATTTAGAATAGATTTAGGCTAGATTTGAAATCATTTGAGCTAAACCTGCCATACGCCAAAAGATTCAAAGTTAAATCTCACCGCAAGTCTAATCTCTACTTCACGGCATTTTCACCATTTTTTCCCTAAATCCCGGATTTCGTATATTTGATCGAAGAAGTGTGTGAAAAGGGAGAAATAATGTGACCTTTGTGGAGAGCTCCCGACTTCCGATCCAACAAGAACAACTTGGAGGAGGAGAAGATGCTTTGACTCTTTCAGTACTCTACTTCACACGTAGCAGACAATAACTGATAAATGTAAAAGAGGAAAAAGCAAACCCTAGACCAACAATGGCAAGCAGCTCGTTTGAAGCTCTACCTCACACAAAACAGCTAATCCGAAGAGGAAGAACCTCACGCGAACTACATCATGTGAAGAAAACAACAACTAATAAATGCAGAAGAGGAAAAAGCAAACCCTAGACTGGCAATGGCAAGCGCCTCGTTCAAAGCTCTACCTCATGTGAACTAGTGAAGCCGAAGATGAAGAACCTCATGTGAACAGGAATGAAGAAACAAAGAAGAGGAAAACCCGCATTTTCCTCTTAATTTATTACTTAAAACCGATAGAATTTTCGGTGAAAATTTCCTCCAAAATCCGTTGGAAAGTCTATTATTTGTCCGGCGATCAATCCGCAAGTGTTTTCGACGACTATTTTTTCGCCAGGAATGTCGCTGAAAAAAAGTGGTTTTCTTGTAGTGTCAGTAACCTATGAGTGGATGAAAGCTTGTAAGCTTTGAAGTACACTTGACCAAGGCTGCTCTTTTAATCATTTCATCTTGGTGTTATGATAGGTTAATTGATTTCCCATAATTCTTTTAAATGTGTTAAGCATTTGCTCCCCTCGATAGGGTGACATGACAAAAATGTTGGCGCTCCCCCTCCCAAATACATTATTATTATCTTTTATTTTCAATACTTATTATTATTATTATTATTATTATTATTTGACCTTTTAGGATTTTTTTAATGTTTTTTTCAATGATTTTTTTTAATTTATTTAAACATATGATCACACATATTTATGCATATGTCATATATTATCATTATTATTCTACTATATTTGCATGTTTGTTTAAAATATGTTCGTGTGTGCAAATTCCCTGCAATTTTTATTTCCCTCATCTCTCTTCATATATACCATTTCATAGCATTGCAACTAGACCAATATAAGGGGCCTTCCCAGACTATTTTAGCATTTTAATGCATCAAAATGGTCCATTTGATGAAATGGGTGACAAATAATCATTACTTTCATGCAAGCATGATGTTTTGAGCCAATTATTTGTAAATATACGTCTGTCTTCAATTATTATTGTGGCATTTGATCAAATCAACATGTGGATCGTATATGAAAAATAACAATGCCATAAGGATGACACTTATCAAGTTGGGCTGGGCATTGGTGTGGTATCAATCCATCTTGGGACTCCATCATGGTTGCTTCAAGTGGAATTAATAGTTGTGTATGCATGGTTTAGCATTTATGGTATGAGTACATCATTTGATTAGGACATCATACTTAAATTGGCCGTAGCTTGATTATGAAGTGAAGGAGCAATCTACCTGTGAACATAGCTGGTGCATAGAGGGTTGTGGCGGTTCATGATAGTTAAACATATGCCTATGGTTTGATTTTTCTAGCTAGATCCTATAAATTGTCACCATTGGCCTAAGTGAAAAGTAACAGATCCTTTAAACACAAGTGCAACCTAATATATTGAAAGTTTTTCCTTTAGCAGTAGTATTAATGGCTACTAATGCTTCTTTAAATTCTCTTTTTGATTTTCAATTTTTTTTAAAAAGAGAATTTTTTATCGATGTCTTTATTGCTTTTGTGATTCCCTTTTCTTTAGTCAGTATTTGTACATTTGAACACTCCAAATAGATATTGATCTGTGGCTTTATCAAAATTTTAGCTGTGAAATGCCTATAGATATGGGCAGAACCTTCTACGATTGAGGGTGATAATTTCCCATGCAGTTCCATTGCCTTTATGTCAACCCCTCCCTGACAATTTGATAGTTTGGTGCCAATGTTGCAACTTGCCCTCAATGTTACCCCAACTTGATGTTCTTGGCTAGCAAAGTGTCTGTACCGTGATGTTCAACATGCATCAAATTGTTTATAATGTTTGTGTTAAGTTATTCTAATTATGCTGTCATTCTTTCTTGAAGCATCACTGAAGAACTTATTGTCATCACGAAAGGACACTGAACTGCTTGAAGATATTGTCAATGGATTAATTTTACGCTTGGCAAGAAGGATGTGTACCAATATAGAATGTGATGGTAATTTCTTATTTTATCTATTTTATTTATTTTGTTAAGACCGTTTGTAGAAACAATTCGTTCTTGGTTGAACAGGCCGCTTCAAACAGTTCTTGCAACTTCTCGAGCCCCGGTTTTCTAGCAAGATCTCAAAGACCGATCCTTGATTCAAATGCCCAGCGCCCCATTCTCCTTCTTGATTGACCCATCCCTTGGAACCGGCAACCTTCAACAGCGATTGAGAATAGACATGACACCTACCTTATGATCCACCACAGCCAATTCCACTACAATCCAGCCCGCTATAACCTTCTTCGAACCTTTCACCACCGCTCCTATATAGGGAGGTGGGAGGGTGACCTACGGTCACCCCCCACCATTCTCTCATAGCTTCTCACACAACCTCACACAAGAGAGAGAAAAGGATGAGAAGAATAAAACTGCTAAGCAAGCCCAGCATTAAAATTGTTTCATCTATCTGGGCTGATCTTTATCACCATACCTATATAGGTGATCATAACATGCTAAATTAAAGACCCTTTTGCCTCCATATGGTCTCATCTTTGTCGCCCCACTTATATATGGAATCACATCATTTTAGATTAAACATTATTCTGTCTCCATATGTGCTCATCTTTAGCCTCACCTATACAAGTGATCATAATCATAGCATAGCCAACCTATCCCACAAACATGACATTTCTTAAGCTCATTTTATTTTCGTTGATGCACATTTAAATAAATATATTATTCTCTATAAACATGTTCACAACTTATTCTATTTCTTAAAATACAACATTTGCATCAAATGTTTCCTAAGCATATGCTTTTCGTGCATATTCCTATAATTATGTAGTTAGTATATGACATGTACGTATAATTTTCAATATAAAGGCTTTTTAATGCATAGCTTACATACAAGCAGTGGCGGAGCCAAGAATTTTATTCAGGGGGGCCTAAATTAAACACTACAGGAAAATCACCCATTACCGACAGAATTTTCCGATGATTTTCAGACGGTTAATTTTCCGGCAGTCAATTTTATGGTGGTTTGTTATCTCATCTTAAATGCCAGAATACATTAAAATAGTTATGTTTGTCGTCTCATTACTAGAGCTAAGAGTAGTTGTAAGATCAAAATTAAGAATGCAAATAACATGGCGAGAGAGGAGCGAAAAGGAAAAGGAAAGTTGTGCTCGAGATTGCGAGTTGCGAGAGATGAGCAAAGGGGAAAACGAAGCAGACAATTTGGGTCGAGGGAAAGCAAACCATTTGGAAGTAGTCTCTGTTTGGGCCTGTGATATGATATTGTTGCCAAGAGTAAAAATTTTTATAAGAAAGTTATTGTAAAAATTAGTAAGAAAACTATTCCGAACAAAGCCTAAAGCATATTCTTGCATGTTAAATTATGGAATTGTTAGGTATTATTATTTATAAAAATAATGCTAATTTTTTATGTAAATTAATCCTCCACATTTAAATTTGATTTAAAATGAGTGCAAAACATAAAAAAATTCAATTAAAATGTACATTACACATATCTTAAAATAAATACAATACTTTTAAGAACTATTTTGACAAAAAAAAAATTTTGATCAATAAATTCAGTAAATATTTTTTTATGAATATATTACATGTAATAAAAATGGTGACTAAATAATTATATCTAAATCTATTCCTTTTCTCAAAAAAAAAAAAAAAAATTGCTTTAAGCTCTTGTCACATGCAGCCAAAAAAATTAAAGAAAATAAAATTTTAGGGGGGGCACGTACCCCCCTTTGCCCTCCTCCCTCCGCCCATGCATACAAGCCTTGCTGATAAAATTTGCATAAAAAAATCAAGTAATTTGCTCCATAAATTAGAATTTGAATATCTTACCTTACCGATTGAACACAGGATCAACTTTCTTGTTGCAATCACTTCAATACCTTGTTCATTTGTAACTAATTTAAAAAATATATTCATCTTAAATCAATAATTTGCCAACTCTCCTACTAATTATTTTAACCTAAAATTGTAATACTCAAAATTTTCAAGTTCTTTACATACTTAAGCTCATACCTAATCCCTTTGAGGATATTGAAGATCATGAGCACTTAATCTAGAGGGTTTAGTGATATTATATCCAGTATTAGACCTCGAGATTTTGAGGAACTTTTGTTTTATGAGTCTAAAGAGTTAGCTGCTTAGTGCGCCATCTTGAGTCTATCTTGAGTCTATTCTTAAGTTAGACGTACAACAACTCATACTTGATGTTATTTTGCCTCTTATTTATAGACCTTATTTGCCAGATGATTTTTTTCTGTCATGCTCATTTTCATTCCATGTGCATGGGCTTTTGCAAGAACCTTCTACTGCTGAGAATATATTTACCATTTGCAATAATAGAATTCGTATAACTAATGCTATTGGTTATGTTGATCATCATTTAATTAGTGAGTATAACTATGATTTTGTTTGTCTATTTGCACCTTAGACCATGTGCAAATATGTTTTCTTTCACCATGCAAATATGTTTTCTTTCACCATGCAAATTAAATGGCTAATTTGTACCGCTACTGTATAATTTTGAATGTCTTACTGGATATTTATATCAATAACCATTTCAGAAACTTCAGTTGGTAATTCAGATGTTCAATTTTTGGTACAACACTTACTACGAAAGCTCGGAACTATTGCATTTGTTGGTCAGCATGCAATGCTTTTAATATCTCGGAATATATCAGCCACGGCAGAGAGGATGCTTTTCATGGATCCATTTGATGATGCTTTTCCTAGTTTGCATTGCAGCATCTTCTTAATGTATGTTATTTGCAAATGTAGATTTCAAATCTGGTTTCTTTTCATGTGCATAGCAAGGCCATATCATAAAACTTCATTTATATTTCATTAGAATATATTTCAATATGTGGATATATCATTGAACTGGTTAAGTAATTGTATGCGTTCTCTTTAGATTTTGAATTGTTTGTTGGTTTCTTGGGTTGGAATATGTGTTTAGTTGTAAACAATAAAAGATTTATTTCGACTCTGTCATAAAAGGTATTGACGGAATTGTTTTTTTGTTGGTCGGGTTATCATATTTGCTTACATATTGGCAGAACTGCTAAATAACACAATGCAGCATTGCTTCTCCATTATATAGCAGTCACTGCTCTCAAACAGCTAAGGTTCGATTTGACGCAACAAATCATGTTAACATATAGTTAGGTTGGCTTGCATATTTTTACTAGTAAATTGCACAACATGAATCAACGGATGATATCCATTGTTTAGCATCTGCTGCTCTTCCTCAACTAGGGCTCTTCTTGTGCAATCTAAGTTCTTGCATTTTTGTGCGACCAGTGGCAACAAAGACTATTCCTGCATATGGAACGAAACTTCCCTCCACTGCATGTTTACAATCGTGGCAGCAGCACCTAGGTTAGATGAGATTCACTGGCTAATAATATGTAATCTTTTTCGTTTTTTGTCTATTGCAAGCACCACTGCTTTAGGTGAATTACACTAGTCATGATAGCATTTACATTTCATCTAGTGTGAAAGAACTTTATGGGCTTAATGATGAAAAGAATAAATGTTTTTGACTTCTGATCCATTTGATATTTGATCCACCCTTGCCATGCAATCTAACTGTGGACTTCTTTGTTAGTAATCCCAATAGGAATTTTTCCCATTCAAATAAAACCATTCTAAACAATGCTTATTAGATCTAAATTACTTCATTAGTATCTCGTCAATGATGACAAAATTTGGCTTCATCTTGTTCTTAAAATTGATATCCTATTACACGCCACTGTTGCCACTTGCCTTATCTCGGCTATTTTGATTTTTTTTAATGAATTTTTTATATTTGTTTTAGTTGAGTTCCAAACGATCCTAACTCTACTTTATGTAGGTCTTTTAGCTAAACTTTAAGTCATGATAGCTTTACTGTGGCCCTAATGGACCGCTCAGCCGGTCCAGTCAATGCAGCCGGCCCAGCTCGACAGGCGTGAGCTGCACGTGCATGAATTGCGGGACAGGGAAATTTGGCCCCCTTTGTGGGGCCCAACAAAGCAATAATTCCATATGCAAGGAGAAGGATTAAGGAAGAAATTAATGTGGGGTTTTGAATTCAAATAGGAGAGGGAGATTAGTAAGAAAAAAGGCAATTTTGGGGGGAAATTGAGAGAGTTTATTTAGGGATGATTCTAGGGTTTGGGGTTCATTATGTATGTTTTGAATTAAGAGCTACTGTAGTTTTTTTTTTTTCCGTGAGGGCTTCCTAACGGTTTCTAGGTTGTTTGGGAGAGTGATCTACCTCTCGAATTGTAGATCACTTGTATCTTGCTTTTCTTATTGCAATATCAATAAAAATCAACCAATGTTTTGGTTTTCTTGCATTGTTTCTAGTTGTTGTTTGTTGTTTTTGTCTCCAAGGCATATAAAATTTGTATCATAGCACCTTCTTGAGGGAAAGAACAAGTCATCTTCGCTAATTTTTGAAATAAAGGTATAAAGATTGATTTTTTTTCTTAGTCCACATCTAGTCCTAACACCCTCGTTAGGTTCACCTAAAATCAATTACTTAGAGTAATTTTTAAAAAATTTCAAATCTCTAGGCAACCGGTTTTCTTTCTCCAGATTTTTTTTCCAAATTAATTTTCTAAATCCTTTGGGAGTTATTTACTAAATCATCTTCTTCCAAAATTGGCTCTTTTAAAATTTCATATTTATCAAATACAACATGTGTGGTCTCCTCAACTACCAAAGTATTTTTGTTAAATACTCTATAATATTTTCCAATATTAGAGTATCCAAGAAAAATCCCTTTATCTGATTTTGGGTCAAATTTTCCTAAGGATGATTTTTCATTATTATGTATGAACATCTTGTATCAAAAAATATGCAAATGTGACAAATTAGGTGTTCTCCCCTTAAGAAGTTCATAGGGTATTTTATTTAATTTTGACCTAATGTTCACTATTCAGAACATAACATACAGTACTAACCGTTTCAGCCGAAAAATATATAAGAAGTGAATATTCAGCCAACATGGCTCTAGCTGCTTCAATTAATGTTATGTTATTTCTTTCGACTACCCCATTCTAATGAAGGGTTCTAAGTATAGAAAAATTATGATCAATTCATTTTTTTTTATCTTTAAATTTATCATTTTCAAATTCACCATCGTGATCACTTTGAATTGTTAAAATATCACATCCTAATTTCCTTTGTATCCAAGTCAAAAAATCTGTAAATTTCTCAAATGACTCACTCTTATGAAATAAAAATTTAACCCACGTGAACCTCGATAAATCATCAACTATAACAAATCTGTATACCTTCCCTCCTAGACTAATAATGTTAATCGGTTCAAAAAGATTCATATGAATAATCTCTAAAGGTTTACTAGTTCTAAGATCCTTATTGGACTGAAAAGAAGACTTCATCTGTTTTTCTAATTGACATGCATCGCAAAGAATATCCTTAGTAAAATCTAGTTTTGGTACACCTCTAATAAAATCCTTTTGGGTAATTTTCCTAAAGTTTTTCATGCTAGCGTGACAAAGTCTTCTATGCCATAACCAAGATTCATCAGAAATTGTTTTTAAACAAAAAGCATTTGGAGTTTTAATACCATTCAAATCTAGCATATAAACATTGTTTACCCTTATACCATGCAAAACATCATTTCCATTTAAGCTTAATACATAGCTAGTGGGAAAAAATTTTACTGTACCTTTTATCACAAAACTGGCTTATATTTAATAAATTATGCTTTAAGCCTCTACAAGCAGTACATTTTCTATGAAAAAATTTTACAAGTTTCAGATCAACCTGTGCTAACCACTTTTCTAGTTGTGTTATCTCCCAGTGTAACCTTATCTCCATTATTGGGTTCCAACGATATGAATTGTTTAGTGTCTCCAGTCATATGCTTCGAAAAACTGTTGTCCAGGTGCCAAATCCTCTCACGAGGTCTTGTATAAGAGCGTTTCTGCAAAATAATTAAATGTTAGACTTAGGAACTCAAACAAGTTTGGGTTCTCTTTTTGGCAAAATAAAACTAGATGCATGTATGATATGTCTAGGTTTATGCATCTTAGGTTTCCACACTAAATGAGTTTTTTTATCCAAAGTATAAGTGTGTGCAATATGTTCAATCATCTCATAAGAATAACATTTAACTTTAGGAAATGGGTGTCTTAATTTTCTATAAAAAATCTGTATCTTCTTAGGTTTTAAAATTATTAACCGCAAAATAGGATTTATATAATTTTCAAGCGTAGAGAGTTTCTTATTTTTCTCGCGAGCTTTCACTTTCAACTTAAGAAATGTGTTTACATCTTCTAACACATTAATATCATATTTTAAATATTTCTCTCTATTCTCAGATTCATCCTTGAAATTTTTAAAGTCTTTTTCTAATTGAGCATAAGATGATTTTAAAAGATCATTCTTTTTATTCAAGTCTCAAATTCATCAAGTAAGCTCATATAGTTGTTATCTATCAATGCCTGATCTTTCCTAAGGATTTCATAATCTTTTTGCAATTCTTGCATTTCAAGGTTTAGAATAGCATGTATTTTCTTTAGTTTTCTATATGCATCATGAATTCTTTCAGAAACTTCTAACAATTCATTATAGGTCAAGTTACATACCTCTTCTTGATCTGACTGATCAAGATTATCGGTCATTAAACACAAATTGGTGAATTCCTCCTTTTCTATTTTTGACAAATTTGAAGTTGAGTCTGCCCAAAAAGCCCTTTGAAATCTCTTATTGCCCTTCTTCACATTTGCTTTCTCTTCTACATTCTCCTTGCTAGGAGTGGCTTTTAGATTTAGGCATTTCGATATTATATGTCCAGGTTTCCTGCACTCGTAACAAATCACATTATTAGAAACTTTAATATTTTTATTAAACTTACTTCTGTTCCACTGCTAGCATTTCCTCTGCATTCTTTTAAGAAAATTTCTGAATTGTCTAGTCATCAAGGCAATGTCGTCCTCATCCTCAGGTTGTGACTGATCACTCTCCGAGCCCTCCACTTTCAGTGTAATGTTCTTCTCCTTTTGCTGTTCACCTACATCAATCTTCTTTTGACTCACTCCTTGCTCGTAAGCAATTAGTGATCCAAGAAGATTGTTAATAGAGTAAATATTTAAATCTTTAGACTCTATAATTACAGTTATTTTAGCATCATAAACAATAGGCAAACAACGAAGTATTTTATTGACTATTCCAGCATTCGTTAATTCCCTACCTAATGCATACAAAGAAGTGACTATTTTAGTAAATCTTGTATACATGTCAGAAATAGATTCATTGTGTTTCATGCGAAATAATTCATAATCATGTAACAAGATGTTTAATCTAGATTATTTTACTTCATTAGTCTCTTCATAAGTAATACAAAGTCTATCTCATATGTTCTTTTCACTTTTGCAAGTAGAAACCCACATGTAATCTTCTGACTTAAGTGCACAAAAGAAACTATTTATACATTTAGCATTTAATTGTGCTAAGTTACGTTGTTCTACAGTCCAGTCAGCAAAAGGTGTTTCAACTCTAATGTTATAAACTAATCTAGTTGGTTTAGTATACCCTTCTTGAACTAAAATCTACATACGATAATCTAGTGATTGCAGAAAAGTAGACATGAGTGTTTTTCAAAAATTGAAAGGAATATTGTCAAATAACAGAGGTCTAGTGATCGAGTACCCTTCAGGTGTGTTTCGATTTCCAAAAGTAGCCATTCTCGTTTTTCAAAAAGTAGTCTAAACTTATGATTTTGAAATAAAACTCTTATACCACTTATTGATTTCTTATAGGTTGTTAAACTTAAGCTATTGTCTCAAGGCTAACCAAGAGTGAGGGTGAATTGGTATTTTAAAATTTTTCTTAGATTTTTAAATAGAAAACCGATTTTAAGATTTGGAGCAAGTTAATCTAAGTTTTAAAAATAAAAATTTTCAACCACAATAAATAATTTGCATAATATAAAATGCGGAAATTAAAAGACACAAAAGTTTATAGTGGTTCGATAAAACACGACCTACATTCACTCCCTGAAGACTCCATCTTCAGGTATTGCACTATTACGAAAGTGACTCTCTTTTTGTCCCCACAGCAAGGCGGAGAAGCTTTTACAATAACCTCTCTTCCACCAATCCCCGGTGCGGTAGAGAAGCATCGTCCTTTTACACTCTCCAAGTGTAGCCAAAGAACCGTCATCCTTTCACACCCTCCAAGTGTTGGCAGAGTACCTTCGTCCTTTCACACTCTCTAAGTGTCGGCAGAGTACCGTCGTCCTTTCACACTCTCCAAGTGTCGGTAGAGTACCGGATCTTCTCCAAAAATCTTTTCACGAGCAATTAGAAAGAAGAAAGGAAGAGTAAACACCAGAATCACTAAGAGGTCCTTATCTTTAAGTGAACTTGCGAACCCTTCACACTCAAATCTCTCTCAAACACTCTCTCTTTCAATTGCCCTTGAAATATCACGAAGACAATACTATTTCACGTAAGTTTTAGTGGACCTTTTATATCAAAGACACAAAAAACTATCCAGAAAATTGAAATTTTCAATTTTGAGCATACACGATCGTATGTTCTTATGTACGAACCTGTTGTGAATTGGTATGAAACTGTTCATACACGATCATCGTCAGGTACGAATCAAGTTCGTCCGGTGCGAACAATTAGAAAATTTTCACGTTCGTCGAGATGAAAAGTCGGGAAGAAAAGGGATCCATCCAATTTGTACTCTGGAAGGCATGTATGAATCATATATCGTACAGTACGATCAGTTATAAAAATTTAGGGTTCATTGGGACGAACAGTCGGGACGAAAAAGGCACCCGTCCATTTTCGTACTCTGGAAGGCATGTATGAATGGTATATCGTACAATACGATCAGTTATGAAAATTTTCAGGTTCGTCGGGACGAACAGTCGGGACAAAAATGGATCCGTCCAATTCATACTCTGGAAGGTATGTACGAATGGTATATCGTACAGTACGATCCATACTTAAAAAAAAAATCTACTTCCTATTCGTTTGATTGCTCGAAGGGAAAATAATTGATCAGATCGTCTCGTACGAAATGAAATCGTACAGTATGATCAGATTAAAAATTGTAGATTTTAAATTCCCCAGTGTGTTGTGCTCAGTTACTCAATTACAATCACACTCTTTCAGACTCAATAAAATAAAAAATACAGACTTCAATTACAATAAACTCTAAATTGATCTTGATTTGAAGTCTTCAACAATTCAGAGTATGATTTCCCTAAAATGTTAGTACATACAAGAGTAAAATAATTCTTCCAAAATATGTTAAGAGAAATAATAATCAAAGCAATAATATTTGGAATCATAAAAAACATACAAGTTGCAAGAATATCAAACAAGCAAAAACTAAGTAGCAACTATCTTAATAGGGCAAGGCTCAAGTCAGTTTATGAGAGGGAGTTGATGGCGTTTGTGCTGGCCATTTAGAAATAGTGGCCTTATTTATTGAGAAGACATTTTTTTAGAAATAGTGGCCTTATTTATTGAGAAGACATTTCATTGTCAGAACTGATCATTGGAGTTTGAAGTATTTGTTGGAGTAGAGAATGGTCACTGAGAAGAGTCAAAGGTAGCTTTTTATGTTATTGGGTTATGATTTTGAGATTCAATATCGACTTGGAGTTGAAAATAAAGCAACTGATGATTTATCCATGTGCATGGAGGACCCCAAATGATGACATTGTTTGATCCCTTGGTGGTTGATTGGGAAGCACAAAGGAGAGAGAGTGAACAGGATGTGCAGGGTTAAGGAAAATTATGGAAAAGATGGTGGGAAATAAGAACATGCATCCGGGATACTCAATGATGGGATAGAAGTTGCTTCATCATGAGCGATTTGTGCTTCTAAAGACCTCTTCTTACATTCCCTGCTTGTTTCAGGAGTTTCATGAGATGCCCAGTGGGGGACATTCGGGGGTCAAAAAGACATACGGCTGCTTCTCTGCAAAGCTGTATTCGGAGGGTATGTAAAAGGATGTCAAGAAGATGGTAACTTGTTGTGATATATGGAGGCACAAGTATTTAGCTGTCTCCAAGAGGGCTCTAGCCATTAGTTCTGTTAGAAAAGGTGTGGAAGGGAGTGACCATGGACTTCATTGAAGGGCTGCCAAAGTCAAAAGGATACATTATGGTAATTGTGGTAGTGAATCAGTTGAGTGAGTATGCCCATTTCATTCCCCTACGCCACCCACATACAGTAATATCAGTAGCAATGGTTTTCATGAGGGTGGTGAGATTACATGGGATCTCGAAATTGATTGTATTGGATTGAGACATGATATTCTTGAGCCAATTCTAGAAGGAATTGTTCAAAATGCAGGGTACCGTTCTGAAAAGGAGCACTGCTTATCATCCAAAGATGGACAGATAGATAGAGGTGGTCAATCATATTGTGGGGACCTATCTGCGATGCTTTATATCTGATACACCAAAGTTGTGGGCAAAATGGTTGGCTTGGGCAAAGTATTGATATAACACTTCCTATTATTCAACAACTTAGACTATACCATTCAAAGTATATGCATGAGAGATTACACTTGATATATTATGGACAAGGAAGCATACTGGTGGCTTCGGTAGAGTAGTACTTGGAAGACAGAGACATGATCTTGTGGGTCCTGATGGGGCATTTGTTGAGAGCTCAACAAATTATGAAGAGAAAAGCAGATGCACAAAGGAGAGAAAATTTAGTTTGACGTTGGGGACAGGGTTTACTTGTAGCTTCGTCCCTACTGAAATAAAACTTTGGCATGGAGACGGAATGATAAGTTATAACCTCAATATTTTGGTCCTTACGAGATAGTAGAGCGCATCAGGATTGTAGCATATTACCTACAATTACCACCATTGTCAGCCATCCACACCGTGTTTCATGTGTCCCATTTTATACGGGTGATAGGAGAACACATTCCATCTTATTTGCTTCCTCCGACCTAACTATTTTGATGAAATTAGTGAGAATGATCCACAAATCCAAAGCAAAATAGAAAATTAGTAATTTTATTGCAATAATCAAACTAACGGAAGAAAAATAACAAGATACAATTTGTCCTCTATTCGAGAGGAGGATCTATCTCTCCCAAATCTCTAGACGCCGCTAGAGCCCAAAAACCTAAACCTTAGAGATTCAAATTTCAGCCAGATTCAAAATGCACTAACCCTAGGAAAACAAATTATTTAATGCATACAATCAAAAAAGAAATATCTAAACAGCCCTTACATTCAAATTTCCCTCCTAACTCCCTTCAAAAACCTTCCTAAAATGCTCTATATGGGCGTCGGATCGCACGACATATGTAGGAGGCGAAGTGTTCCGCCTCCGTTTGTTCATAGGTTGGTCTCGTATAAACCGGTTGGACCGGTTTAACATATTGATGGACTGGCTAAGCCATTCCATTCAATAGAGCCGACCTGACTCAGCAAATAGAAGCGGGAGCCATGGACATGGAAATTTCAGGAGAGGGAAATTCAGCCCCCTTTCTGGGGCCCAACAAAGCATTATTTCCATATGTAAGGAGAATGATTAAGGAATTAATGTGAGGTTTTGGATTCAATAGGATTGGGATATTAATAAGGAAAGAAGGCTATTTGGGGGGAAATTGGGTGAGTTTATTTAGGGCTGATTGTAGGGTTAGGGGTTCAATATGTTTGTTTTGAATTGAGAACTATTGTAGTTTCTTTTTTGTGAGGGCTTCCTAGCTTCGTCTAGATTGTTTGGGAGAGCGATCTAACTCTTGAATTGTAGATCACATATATCTTGTTCTTCTAATTGCAGTATCAATAAAAATCAGCCATCATTTTGATTTTCCTGCATTATTTCTAGTTGTTGTTTGCTATTTTTGTCTCCAAGGCGTATAGGCCCATTTTCTCCCCCTCTTTATTCTTACTAGTTCTACTCTAGTTTTTTTTCATGTTTTTGTTCTGCACAAAAAACCAAAGTATATATTTCCTGTACCTTGTCATAAATTGACACTACTTTCTAACCATGTCTCAATTTATCTTTAAAGGTATGGAAACTTTTCATGCTAAGATCACTTGATCTTTGAGCACATTGAACTAATAATTTTTAATTTTATTCTAACTAAAAATTGGAGCAACAAAGAATGTGATTTTGCAAGTGATCTTGATATGGTCATTATGACAAAGCTCAAGTTATAGGGACAAAGTTCACTTTTAAAGGAGAAAAGTTTCTTTATGTTTTTTTTTTTTTTTTAACCTGGAGCATGTAGCTAATTTTAGAAACAATTTTGACTAAAAAATCAAACTATCAAATATTTTTTTATGAAATCAACAAAGCCAAACTCAATTGGGATGGAAGTTGAATTACCATGCATGGTTTGAATCAATTTAGCTTGAGATTGGATGGGAATGTGCAAAGATGGGCATGTTAGTCATATATGTATTTAGCATCATGTGTTTCATGTTTGGCTATATCAGCTATATCTAATTAGAAATCATTTTAAAACTTATTTTTTGTTTTTGGAGATTTTTTTTTCTCACATATTTCTTTTTATTGGAAAACAAAAGCAGGATGCAGCTGATGGAGTTCCTTGTATCAGACAATTTTCAAAGTTGGACTTACGAAGAAGATTTTGACTGTCGTTAGTAGTATACTTTTGTTTGTCCTCACTGAAGTTTATAGCTTTGTAAAAATCATCATAAATATTTCCATTTTTCTTACTAAATGCTGCAATTCCCTTCCAAACGGACTTGAAAATTCAGATTCTGATGCTAACAACTTCAACAAAATGCAGGATTGTTTGAAGAATGGGTGAGATCGATTCTACAAACCCAAAAGGGATTGCAACTTGTGGAGTCCAGGAATGGTTTGTACACACTTTACATGGAACGCTTAATTGGGGGTGGTTTGGTGAAAATTGTGGGGCCTCTTGTCTCTGCTGGCAGGCTTGATTCACAACTTTTGTCTCATCTTCTCAGGTGAAAGCCTCTCCCCGAATCAGTTTTCTTGCTCTTTTTAAGTTTGATTCAGGCTTCTCTATCTTATTAGACTTACATTTCTGATTTCTTAGTTTCAGCTTTATAGAAATTTATCAGAACTAAATAACGCATCTTCACTTACTGCATATTACGTGGTGATTTCATTGGAGTCCGAACATCCGAACTTAGCATGCAATAATTTCTGCATTGGAAGTGATTTTAAATTGATTTGAGCAAAATTTCGTTATAAAATCTATCATTAAACAAAATTTAGTTATAAAATCGCTACTTTCAACTCTAGTTGATTTAAAATAAATATATAATGTTATTAATGATTGTAATCGCTACTTTCAACTCTAGATGATTTAGAGTTTTGTATTGCTCTCTTCGTACAATAATGAATTCCTAAGAATTAGATTAGCAAGACAAAGAAATTCAAATGAATCACTCAACTTCTTACTCAGGACGAAAGAAGAGAGAATTTTGAATTTTCAGAGGTTGATTTCTCTTCCCATTTAATGAATACTACCAGATTTAAGGGTCTTATTTCAGGCCAAAATAATAAAACATTATGTACAAGCTATAATTATATTTAATTTTAACTTTAAAATTTTGCAAAATTTAATCGTAAATTTATTCTAAATATATATATTTTTTTAAAACTATATTATCAAGATGATCAAAATAGAAATAATCAAATCACAACATCCGGCACCTAATTAACTTGATCATGTAATACCCAAATCTTCATAAATAATGATGATGGAAGAAAATGGTATATGATGTATTTGTTATTTTATACCTCATGTATTTATGTATCGCCTAATTAATTTTAAATGCTGAAAATATTATATTCTAAATATTTATGACTTAATTTTTAAGTAGCTAATATGATAAAGATTAGGCTTCATTTAATAATAACTTTGAACTTAAAATTTATTCCATAAGCGATTTGAACTCGAGTCAACTTAACCTTAAATATAATGGCATCTATAAGAAATAGATTCTGCCAGAATACTTCAAAAAATGAAGAAGAAAACATAGGATATTTAGACTGATGATATGGAACATTAAACAAGTTAAAACTTTATAACAGGTAGCAGCACCGTACATACATGAACTGCCACAGTGCGTTATTGCAAGCAGCAACAAATTTATTAGACTGAATTATAAGAACAATACAAGCTTTAATGAAAAAGAAAGCTTCTACAGCTTGGAAGCAGACTTGGCACCTCGACCAGAAATAATAAATTTCTGCATTTGTGCAAATTGCTCCTTGGTCATGCCCTCGTAGTACTTATATGCTCTCTCCTAAACCATACAATAAACAACGGATTAAACAAACAAGGAATGTTATTTAGGTTTCATTTGAGACGATTTTCTTGCTGCTTCTTACAGCAACACGGACGGACGGACGGATGCTAATTAAGACATAATAAGATTTAGAAGGCTAACCTTTTCAAGTATAAGGGCATTGTTGAGATCCAACTTGAGGCCATCATTTATGACAGATTTGTACCTCAACACCATATCTCTGTTGTTCCTTAAAATGCTTTCTGCAACCTCTATGGCTGTATTCAACACATGAGGGTTGTCAACAACCTGGTTAACAAGGCCCCACCTCTCTGCCATTTCTGCAGTTATAGGCATGCAGCTCAAGGAGGCTTGTCTTGCTCGGTTTGGTCCTATTACACGACCCAGCTTTTGTGAAAGACCCCATGAAGGAAATATCCCAAACCTGAACTTAGAACATGATAATACAGTGTACAAACCCTAAACAAAAGAATTAACTCTATTTTTTTTTATTAAATTTTTTTAATATATTTCGAGATGATATATTAACCATTAAAAAGTGCAAAATTTTATTCAATAGTATCACAGTGATCCAATTTAATCTCTTGATCCAAGGTTGAAAATGACAGTTAAAGTTAACACCAAAAATTAAATGTGAGAATATTTTAGATGGTACAAGTGTATGCAAGGTTATATTTCTTTTATGTTGCTCTATTTTGCCATTTACTAAAATTTTTTTTTATATGCTTTTCAATTTAAAACTTGCCTATATTAAATTTTCGTGCCAAAATTTTAAAAGCAAGAGATGAGGAAAATCATGAAGTAGATAAAGGTTAAACAACAATAGACTGATGAAGTTCAAAACAGAGGCAAACGTTAGTAATGAATTTTTTATTCAAACTTTGTGCCTCATAAGGCTTAAACTTTATAACTCATAAGGCCTAAACTTTGTGATTCATGAGGCTAGTGATTATTAAGGAATACGAATTAAAAATATATTATTTTGATAAAAAAGCATCTGCCTCATTTAATTCAATGATTATCACATTTGTGAGTAAAGCCGTTGTGACACAATTCCGACTCTCTTTCCACATTCAGTTCTGCAGAAATTTTGATTAGATACTAGAGACCGGAAAATACATTTGTCCAAAAGAAAAGGATGGTTTAAATTGATGATACTGTTGCCTTATTGCAGTATCTATTTTTAAATAATGGAAGATGTTTTTTTCATTAATCAAAGTTTAATGATATTAGTATCAGCTTGGCCATTTCTTTTAGTAGTAGGGTGCACTTACCAACCATACTAGTTGACCTCAATTTTTTTAACATAAATTGATTAAGTAGTTGGGTGCATTTCAGTTTAAAATAAAATGCAAAGATATTCAAATTCAACCTGCATAAATAAACATTTTTCACTCAGATCAATAAAAGACTTGATGTAGAACTAGATATGCAGATGACAATGAATTGGAAATTCCTCGTACTTTAACAGAGCTTAACAAATTATTAATTCACCCTGAACTTAAGCAATGTCTTCATCATGCAAGAGGGTAATCAAGTTTAAGCAATCAATCACAAGCTAATAGGAGGACCAATAGATAATCAAATAAAATAATGTCATGCTCGCGTGATGTTTCAGAAACAATCCCCAAATTAACCAATAGATTAGTCACTACAAAGACCCACTCTCACGACACTCTTGGTATGGGCTACGCGGATAAGTTTTCACAATAAAATGATGCCACGATTGAGGATGGATCAAAAGGTGCAAGTGGGGGAAAGAGTTTACCCGCAAAGACGAAGATGCTAAACCACGACAAAGTTAATTGGATGTCTCGGTGGGAAGGACAGCACTATGAATCCTTTCACACGCTTGGACAGCATTCTGTCGTCCTTGGAAATTTGGACAACAGCTGTGTGGTTGTAGAAATCAGTAACAGCGAGTACCAGACTTGGAAAATGACTGAATCTGTGTATCACCAGCAGGTAGCTGACCTTAGGATGACTTGGGAGAGAAATAGCAAGCAATTGACAGTAGGAAAATAGCAACCATCATCATTAGATGGCATCCGAAACAACGAGACAACAAATAGAAGAAATCTGGGTCCAAGATTTATGTCTTGAAGATTTTTATAATTATGGCAAGGCTCAAGGAGGGGAGGGGGTCGGCCCAGTCAATTAATTGGGGCTGATTTGGGGCTTTAATTGGGTTGCCAATTTCAGCATATTGGCTAAGGAAATAGGATATAATTCAGATTTCCAATCAATAATCAGATTTGAGGATGGGTATATCCTTCCAAATATAGCCAAATAATTTAGGAAAGGAAATCAAATTTGAATTCAGTTTTCCAAAATTAAGCAAGGCTAATTTAGGAAGGAGAATTAATAAGGATTCTTCAATTAAATTTCATATTTATGAATAGGGGTACCTTTCCAAAAATGATCCAATAATTTAGGAAAGGAATTCAAGGCTCAAGGAGAATTCAAATTTTGAATTCAGATTTCCAGAAATTAAGCTAGGTCAATTTATGAAGGAGAATTATTGAGTATTCTTCATTTAAATTTCTGATTTATTGATGAGGATACATTTCCAAAAATAATCCAACAATTTAGGAAGGGATTGAAGACTCGAGGAGAATTCAAATTTTGAATTTAGATTTCCAAAAATTAAGCTAAACTAATTTATGAAGGAGAGTTAATGAGAATTCTTCATTTAAATTTTAGATTTATTGATGGGGATACCTTTCTAAAAATAGTCCAAAAATTTAGGAAAGGGATTGAAGGCTTAAGGATAATTCAAATTTTGAATTCAAATTTCCCAGATTAGTGCTAGGTTAATTTAGGAAATGTTGGAGAATCAATTTGGAGAAATAAAAGTGGGGAGAAGAGGTCATGAAAGTTTCAGATCTATTGACGGGTCTTGTTTTGCCATCACATAGGGACTTCACGTGCGCTCTCACAAAAACTCTAAAACGAACCAAAACATAAAGTGAAGAAATTTCCATTCATCATAATCATCATCCTTCCCAAGGGGGAGGTGGCCTATAAATAGACAAAATACAATAAAAAATCAAATGACAAAAGTTCCCCATGGGGTCACACAAACCTACTACTTCAAGTGAGAGTAAAAATTAAAAATTACATATAATAAATCAAATACAAAAAATTGCTCAGAAATAGAGCAATCTGATCCTAGTTGTAGATCTCCGGCCCTTCCTTTAATAAACTTCCTACGGACGGATGTCCTCATCATTCTGCCGGGATGGAAAAGAGCTCGACTCCGTCAAGTATGCATCCCGGGTGCTCTCATAGATCTTTAGTGCATCTAGGTCAATCCTCTGGAGCTCCTCGCACTTTAGCCAAGTGTCCTCTGTCTCCGGTTTACCTCTCCACCTAACTAAGTACCTCCTTCGTCCACCCTCTTTTGTAGAAATGATGTCATTGTTTAAAATCATGTCAACTTTCTCCGCAATAGGTGATTTAGAAATATTTGGAAGTGGAGAAATACTTGGGTTCTCCACCTTAGGTTCTCACATGGTGGGGTCACAAAAGGCTTAGTATGTAGTGGATAACTCTAGGCCCTCATAGGATACTAAATCTTCAATGTTAAAAGAGGGATTGTTATTGAAATCTGCAGGCATATCCACCACATAGGCATTATCATTAATTTTCTTGATTATTTTAAATGGTCATGTACTTTTAACAAATAATTTCTTAACAAACTCTTTTGGAAACCGTTCCAGACGGATTTGGACCATCATCGAATCACCCAAATCGAATGTCTTAAATCTTCGTTTAAGATCATCATGAAGTTTATAATTTGCATTACTCTGTTTAATTCGACGTGTAATTTTCTTATGTAAATTATGCAAATGAAGATGCAGACTCAGAAATCCTATACCTAAGGCACATGGGTATGAGATCTAAAGGTTGCCTAGGCTTGTACCCATAAACAATCTTAGCAAGACTCAAACCAGTAGTGCAATTCACAGAATTATTATAAGCAAACTCAGCTGTGGGTAGCTTGGTATCATAGTCTTTAATGTGCTCACCTACTAGGGTCCTCAATAAATTTCCTAGACTCCTATTGACCACTTCAGTTTAGCCATCAGTCTGAGAATGAAAAGCTGTGAAAAACTGCACTTTAGTTCCCATTTTCATCCATAGGGTCTTCTAAAAATAATTCATCAATTTGACATCCACATCAGATACAATAATCTTGGGAAAACTATGTAATCTAACAACCTTATCAAAATACAGCTCGATAATGAGTGAGGCATCGGATGTTTTGGAGCAATGTAGGAAATGTGTCATCTTGGAGAAGCGGTCCACTACGACACATATGACATCATTCCTACGGGGAGTCTTGGGCAGGCCAAGAACGAAGTCCATGTTGACATCCTGCCATGGACAACTGGGAATTGGTTATGGGATTTAGAGACCTGTGTTCTGTTTTCGTTGCTTAGCCAGTTGACACGTGTGCCATCTACTAACCATCTTGCCCACATATTTCTTCAAGCTAGGCCAGAAGAAACGGTACTCTACAGCCTCAATAGTTCTGTCACGACCGAAATGTCCAGCGAGACCTCCGGCATGAAGTTCTCAAACGAGAAATTCCCTATGGGAAGTGCTTGGATTGCAAAGCTTCCAAACATTGAATAAATATCCATCCTCAAGAAGAACATCATCCACAAGTCACTTGCTGCCTGTGGACAAAGGGGAATCAATCTCCTTGAAGTCAGGGCACTCCAAATAATCCTCTCTGACTTGCTCAAACCCAATGACTTCTGTCCTCATCTCAGTAGTAGTCATTATGTGATGACTGAGGGCATAGACAGCCTTATTCTTAACTCCTGCTTTGTGTCTAAGTGTGTAAGTGTGTAAGTGTACTTCTATAAGAACTCTACCCAACGACTATGGTGTGCATTCAACTTCTTTTTGGAAGTTGATACAATGAAGAGCCTCGTGATTCGAAAAAATAACGAACTCCTGTGAGGCAGGTAGCGTCTCCAATATCGTAAAGACTGTGGGACAAGCCGAGTTCAAGCTTGTCTTTTGAGCTCAACTCGAGCTCGTGCCTACCTTCTGCCTGACGAGCCGAACTCGATAAGGTCACTACTCAACTCGACTCGACTCGTTTACACCCTTAGAACACATAAACTCATTTTAAAGGCATACTAAGTGTAAAATAGGAGCAAATAGAGATCAAAACACAAGAAGACAAGATAATAATCATCTTAAATAAAAGTGTAAACAAAGAATAAAAATTACGTAGGAAAATAAGAGCTTTCCGATGAAATACGTGAGCTCGAGCAGAAAAAAAAATATACTATGGGCTACTCGCAACACAAGCCTCTGCAGTGAGCAAACTGTCGTAGTTACTTACGATCCAACAAAAAGAACGTCATTAAATGTTCCTGACTTTCAATCCAACAATGAATGTTGTCGAAGAAGGCTGACTTCCGCTCAAGCACGGAACATTGTCGGCTCGAGCACGAAATGTTGTCAAAGAAGGCTGACTTCCGCTCGAGTACATAACGTCGTCGAAGGAGGCAAAGAAGATGGTGAATAGAGGCGAAGTCAAACAGGAACGAAATGAGTATAGACACCGCTCAACATTAGGTTAAGGTTTTAAAAAACTTTATTTCTTATTATTTCGATGCGAACGCCCAACAAAATTGAGGTGAAGCACGCCTCAGTCAATTTTACGCCTAACGAAAACATATCTGGCGTCTTCTTCAATATGCTGCAGGGATGAATTGCGTTGAGGTATGCCTTTGATTGGGAAATTTTAAACAATGTCAAACCCACAACTAACATGAATATTTTTTAAATCTTCTACTACTCTATCAATATCCATTTAAATCTCCTCTAATAAAACTCTTTTTTAAGCGGTATCATTTGTATTAATTCTTCTAATTCATTTTTAAATTTTTAAATTTTAAATTTTGAATATATATCTAAACTTAATTGAGAAGCATAAGCACTTAGAATATTAATATTCTTAGCATCACAATAATCTTTAAAGTTATAATTCTATCTCAAATTCAATTAATTTCTACATTTATAATCAAATCTATATTATATTCAAAACTATCAATTCATTTAATCTTTTTTTCAACCTATTTAATTTCTTGAATATGTAGAATATTTATCTTCTTATGAATCATAATATTTATTAATTTCATTAATTTGACAATACTAAATCTATATTTTAAGTTTCCATCCTAATTATGATTTCATGAACTAATTTTTTTGCCCATATACATCCATAATATGGATACCCTTGTTTATTTAGCAGTGCAACTAGGATTCAGTGCAAAGCCATTGCACACTTTTCTATATTTAGGTCATACAGAATGACGCTTCTAGGGAGCGCCCTAGCATTAACATAGTGTATTATATAACAAAATTTTGAATCACAAGCATAACTTGAGTTAATTTCAAAATTTTGAATTTAAACAAAAATATTGATGTGAAAAGAACAACTTCAACCTTGGCGCAATGTGTGGAGCATGTTTTGAAATAGTCTCTAAAAATTCCAACAACTACACTCCTCACACTAGCGCAGCGCGCATCCCTTTCCCACCATCATTAACTACAATGATAAACGCTATGATCCTCCACTCTCTCCAACTCCAATCAAGTTGGACACCCATACTCTTTAGAATAATAATCACCCAAATCAACACCAGCCATAAACCTTTCCAAATGATAAACTAGCTCAACCTTGTCACTCAGCCTACCCCATCCCATCTAAGTAGCTCATCTCACCCCACATCCATGCCCTATCATTACAAACTCTCCCATTATTCTCATAAGACTACGCACGAAAAGATGATATGATTGCCCAAGTAGCAACCCTTACCACTACTAGGCTAGGTAAAATAAGACGTTTAGAAAGAAATAAATATTTCACATGATAAATATATTTAGATTTCGAAGAATACTTATGAAGATTATAAAATAATAATCATATCATTAAATTATGTTAAGCAATAAAATTTCGAAGGCCATTGACCAGTAAAAAAGATAAGAAGAAGCTGTTCATTCCCAATCTAATCATTTAGGCCTGCATACACTTACTTGGAGTGAGTATCAATGAATTTAGTGTCCCTTCCAGCAACGATGATGTCGCATGCAAGCGCAATCTCAAATCCCGCCGTCACAGCAAACCCAGCCACGGCACCTATAATCGGCTTGCGACAACGCTCCATTTGAATGACAAGATCCGTCTCCTGATCATTGACATCCCCCTTGAAAACATCCTCCGCCGCAGTCAGATCGATCCCGGAACAGAACGCCCGTCCCCTTCCGAAAATCACCACTGCACCCACCGCTGGATCGCCATCGAGGCTTTTGAAGATCCTCGCTAGATCAACCAGCATCGGTCGCGTTAACGAGTTTAGAGACCCCGGCCGGTTGATGGTGACCACGGCGACGCCAGAGGGTTGGTAATCGACGAGAATCAGGTTTTCCGGCGAAGAGGAAGCGGGGGAAGGCGGGGAAGCCATTTCCAAAGACAGAGGACTCTGAGTGCTTGCAGTATGGGATGATAAAGGTTTTTTATTAAAGAACCCCGCTGATGAGTGAGCGGTTACTTTCTTTAATAATAACTTTGGAACATTTAAAGAAAATATAGTTTTTTT